ATTAGACTGAGTAAAACAGATTACCATTACCAAATGTTAGTCTGTCTCATCCATTCAGTTGAAAGCCTGAACAGAATAATTCCCCTGAATAACTACAGAGAATTTCTCTTGTCTGACTACCTTTAAACAAACATCTGCTTTTTCTCACATTCAGAATCAGACTAAAGTAGCAGCTTTTCCAAGATCTTGGCTGTGATTACACCATCATTTCTCTTAAGTCTATACCTTGTTGTGTCATTTTGTAGATCTTACAGTAAAATTGTAAGTCCATTGTATAGGGTATCAATGTATTTAAATCTCAAACTATATGTTCATACTTACTGTGTCAGTTAAAATATATTCAGAAAAGATTTCTTGAGTTGTTGACTATAGGATTTTCTATTCATATATTTCGCTCATATTTTCTAATATTTTTATAATACCGTTTTATATATTTATGAATCTCATCTATTTGGAGTTTATCTGGTATTCCTATGATATATCAGTCTTATTTTCCACCCTAAAATAACTTTTTTACCCTGCTAGATGATTTTCCATTTCCCCAGCATAACTCATGCAAAAGACTACCTTCTCTCAGTGATTTGACATCATACTTGGGTGTTACAGTGTTTGCTTAGTAGTTGGTTCTGTTTTATAATTTCTTTCATTGTGTACATTGGTCATCAATGTCTAATACACTATTCTCTAATCATAGTCTTACATGGTATTGTTCTATGTCAACTGCCCCACCTACCAACATTTTATTTTTCTCTTTTAAGATTTCTTAATTTTTTTTTCCCCCATATGTACTTTAGAGTCAACTGGTATGGTTACTTTTTTCCCCAACTTATTCAGATTAAATTATAAACTAGCAAAAACTAACATCTTCATAATATTGGATTATTCTGTCTATAAAACACATATTTCCATTTATTCTACTTCTCATTAGTATTTTAAGTTTTTCTATATTGTGGTTTTATGCATCTCTCGTTGTATTTATTCCTAGGCATTTTATCATTTTGTTGGGGTTATAGATATGAGCTTCCTGTTCTTTATATAATCTTAACAGATCTCTCTCTCTCTCTCTCTCTCTCTCTCTCTCTCTGTATGTGTGTGTACATATATCTGGGTACTTTCCTGATTTTTGTATATTTTATATCCTGCCAGTTAACAGAATTCTGTTACTGCTTGCATTCATTTATGACTGATTCCCTTCGGTTGTCTAGGCCCTGGATCTACTGGTTACACATCTAAATAAACGAAGTATTATTTCTTCTTCAGTACATTTGACCAAGTTTACCTCTCTTTACCTGCTCAGCCATCTTGCTGACCCTGCTGTCTTCTGCTTTGACTTCTTCACTATAATGACTTGAGACTCAGACTAAATAAAACCTTTCTTTCTTACATTGCTTTTGTCAGGGTATTTTATCACAGCATCAGGAAAAGACACTAAGACAAGGCTCAGTGCCTACTTCTCTCACACATTGACAGTACCTTGACTGTACAGTGTGCCATTTGTTCAATTTCCTTTTTTCTTAGTTCCTATTATGTCAGGATTTTCTAACTTACTCTTTTTTTTTCAAATTTTATTTTATTTGAATTTGTGTGTGTGTGTGTGTGTGTGTGTGTGTGTGTGTGTGTGTGTGTACGTTTGAATGTGGGTACATGAATGTCATAGTACATGGACATCAGAAGACAATTTTTGAGAGTTGATGCTTTTAGAATCTGGGGACCAAACTCAGGTGTCAGATTTGCACAATAAGTGCTTTTAAAAGCTGAGCCACTATGTAGCTTTGGGTTTTTTGTTTGTTTGGTTGATTGGTTTTGGTTTGTGTGTTAGTGTTTGGTTGGTTGATTGGTTTTGATTTGTTTGTGTGTTAGTGTTTGTTTTGAGACAGGGTTTCACTATGTAGCCATGGCTGTCCTGGAACTTGCTATGGAGAACAGGCTGACCTCAAACTCACAGAGATCTATCTGCCTGTGACTTGGAAATGCTGGGATTAAAGGCATGCACCACCACAGATAGCTTTGTTTTTTTTTTAACTCTTAATTATATTCAGAAGCTGAAACTCCTTTTTATTAATTGTGTATTTACTAAATACCTGTCATAGGTGGAGGCCCAGAATTGATGATGAAACAAACTGGTGTTGACTTTTCTAATAATAGAGTTGCAAATTCTTCCACATTCCAGCTATAGAACAGTTCCAGTGGCCTAAGAAACATAAAAGAAACAATAACAGCCCTCCTTGCTGTTAATTCCTGTCTTGCTTCCTTTTCCTATTGATTTGATAAAATACACTGACAAAAGAAATTTAAGGGAGAAAGGGTTTATTCAAGTTCAAGGTAAAGTCCTTCATGGTGGGGAAGTCACCAAGGCATCTGGAGCTTGAAGCAGCTGGTTATATTGCACCCACAGTCGAAAAACAGCAGTGAATGCTTCCTAATGGTTACCTTGCTTTCTCCGTTTTGTATAGTTTAGGATCTCCTCCCTAGGGACTAGTCCTGCTCACAATCTAGATGGGTCTTCCTTCCTCAGTTACTTCCATCAAGACCTTCCCCACAGGCATGCCCAGAGGCTCATCTCCCAGGTGATTCTACAGTCCGTCAGGTTGACAGTTAGCATTAACCATCTTCTTTCTCAAGCCAGGAGCAGTATCAGCTGTGAATGAATTCATTCTTTAATTCTTTTCTTTTCCCATTTAGTTTTGGAATGTCATCAAGCATTTATGGAGAAAAATAGCTTACTTTTAATATACAGTATGAGATATAATAACAATAACAGCAATAATAATAAGTAGTTTAAGAATCTAAAAAGTAGCCAGGCATGGTGGTGCATGCCTGTAGTCCCAGCACTTGGGAGGCAGAGGCAGGTGAATCTCTTTGAGTTCAAGGCCAGCTGGGGCTACAGGGAGACCCTGTTTCAAAAAAAGAAAAAGACCAAACCAAACTAAAACCAAACCCCAAATACTCATATACATAAAATAAAATAAATAAATCTTTTTTTAAAAGAATCTAAGTAGAGAAAATTATTCATATTCATCCTCTTTAGATAGCTTTGATGACTGTTAATTTTTTCCCCAAATATGTATCCTTTGAAAAATTATAAGCACAAAAAGTTTGACTAGTCACTTTTCCTTTAGATGTTTCTTGGCTTTACTAGCTAATAAATGTTTGAGTGGATCCTCTGGTACTTTGTTGTCCTATTACATACCCAGCTATGGTGTCCTGCTGCATTTGCTCCATTACCTCATGAATACCAAAGTGTTCATTGATCAGTCTGAGTTAGGCACTGTTTTACCTTCAGTATAGCAACCTGAAAAGAACTTAACTAAGTGAATGTAAAAGTTATACACCTTTACAGCTCTGCATTTTCATGTGGAAAAAATTGGGACAAGGAGAAATGGCCTTCTGATTGGAATCATTTTAAAAGTCACTTATAATAGTTTATTGTTATTAATACCACTATTTTAAACTCTTTTGAAACACGACATAACAGTTCAAGCCCCTGTATTTCAAGTGTTCAAACTTTTGTTCTTTTGGAACCTACACTTTTATAGTATTGTGATACGATGTATTTTGGGTTTTGTTTTGTTTTCAACCAGTGTTCTGACTCATAGCTCTTTCTTTAAAGCAAATCATAAAAACTAGAAATTCTCTTTCCCATGGCAGTTCCTAGAAACTCTGATTTTCCCCCACCTTTGAATTGCTCATGAGGGAATTCCTTAAGCTTAACTTTGTGATACTGGGTCATAAGACCCTCCTCATGCTGGAAGGGTCTTGCTCCTGCCCTAGAGAGAAGAGTGTTTCGTAATGAGAACAAGAAGGATGCAGACCATGCTCGATTTTGACAGTGTTAGCATTAGATCTTGCCCTTCTTGACCATTCACATTTTTACAGAGTCGACCATACTTCAATCATGACTACACGAGGAAACCTCAAAACCCAAAGAGAGGTTCTAGATAGGTGAACACGTAAGTTTCCTGAAAAAGGTGGGAAACTTTGACATTTCCTACATGACCTCTCCCTTTATATCTTTCTTCATTTGTATTCTTTGTAATACCATTCATGAAACCAGTAAAAATAAATGTGTCCCTGAGTACTGCAAGTCACTCAAGCATATTAATCTAACCAGAAAGGGAATTCATAGCTACTTATTCAGATGTATGGTAAAATAATCAGGGGCATGTGACTGGCATCTAAAGTGGTTGAAGGGAATGAGTCTTCATCCTATAGAATCTTCAGACCTGGGAGATGAGCCTTCAACCTGTGGGATCTGACACTCTCCATCCATTTCAGAAACTGTGAAAGCAATCAAATTAGAGAACACCTAGCTGGTGTCTGCTACAGAAGTAATTGGTTGTTTGTAGGAAAAATCTCCACACCTTTTGAGACCACAGAAGTGTTATGTATTAGTTCTGTGAAGGAATAATAAAAATGGTTTGGTTTTTACAACATGGTTTTACCTGTACTAGATTTCTTATTCTCTCTCAAGGCAAATAAAAAGAGAATTATTTTAATGCGTTGAAAACCTGATTTCATTGCCATGAACCAAGAGAGCCCTTGAAAACAACCATTGGGTTTTCTGTCTGCTATCAGCAAACAGGCCTTAAAAAGAAAAAAAGAAAAAAAAAAAAAACCAAGGAAAAAACTGAGTACTTGTAATTCTAGATGCTGTCACTGAATAGCAGTTACCTGAGCCTTATTGGAAGAATATATTGTCTTAGTTAAAACTCAATGAAATGCGTGTGTGTGTGTGTGTGTGTGTGTGTGTGTGTGTGTGTACTTCTAGCCTCCTAAAAAGCATTTTCATATCTTTAACATAATATGTTGGCATTCTATATTATGTATTTCAACAATTTATAGAAAGTGTTAGAAGGTTCTCAAACTTGCCTCTTTTTGACATTTTTTAACAGGACTCTTTAATTTGAAAGTTTCCCATCTTGCAAAAGGGTAATATTTTTCCCATTTTATTTTATTGTCATATCTAGTATTTTAAAATACAACTTTATTTTGGTTTTTAGTGTATGCAGAGAGTATTTCCAAAATGGTGGGAAGAGAAAAGCACTTGAGAAAGATGAAAAAAGAGCTATACTCGCCACTAAGACCACTTCAGCCTTAAACATGCATGAGTCTTCTAAACTTGAAAGTCATTTAACCAACTTCAGCTTTACAAACCCTGAATTTATAACTGAGTAAGTATACTTTGTCTATTTTAATTACCATTGACCACAGGTAGTTATGTTAATGTAAAATAGTGCAATATAATGTTTTATACAATATAAAGTAATACAATGGTTTATACTTAGTAGCAGGCTATTTGTTTTCTCCTCTGGCATATGTTAGTATGAGAAATAAAAATGTAATGGAAGCCAGTTAAACTGTTTAAAGTAGTTAGCCATTAAGAAATTACAAATAAATGGACTGGAGAAATGGCTTACCAGGTAAAGGTACTTGCTGCCTAGCCTGATGACTTGAGTTCACTCCCTGGGTCCCACATGGTAAAAGGAAAGAATCAGCTTCCACAAAGTGTCCTCTGATGTCCACACACATGTTGTGGCCTGTGTGCAATCATGAACACAATAAATGGAAACAAATTTAAAAAAGAAATTTCAAGTAAGGAATAAAAGATCATTAATAGTAATCAACCTTCTTTATGTTACTGTTGAACTGAAAGTATGTTGGCTGCTAATAAGTATTTTTAGCCACAAACTTTGTGAGTTTTCTAGTATTATAATCTAGTTAATTATCATTGGTATTAAAAATTATCTATATTCCTAATGCCAGGATAATTTTCGGTGTCATGTAATTTTTATTAATTATTTGAAAATTAACTCAAATAATTCTAAACACATTATTGCTAAATGTTAAAACTGTTCATGAATTCCAGAACTGCTCATATAAGCATAGCATTACCTTTAGTTATTCTGACTTTATACCATGTTGAAATTATTATCTAGTTAAAATTAACTCATCTAAAGATGAATTAGTTGATCATTGGTTAGTTCAGTAGGAAAGAATAAGGTATCTTTACCTTAAGCTTACTACAGAGCTTATAAAATATAATGACTTACTAAACATCTTGTATCTCAGATGTTATGAAATGCCTTAAATATTTTACATTGTTGGCTGAAGTTGTAACTTACTGGTAGAGCACTTGCCTAGCATATGTGAAGCCCTAGGCTTAATTCCTAATACTGCCAAGTAATTAAATGATAAATGAATGAATGAATAAATGAGTAAGATGTTGACCAGTGTGAGCACTTGTTTGATAGTTCCATCACACAAGTATTTGTGGAAAGCAGTGGCTCTAGAATTGATACATGGTTCTTTTGCTATAAACTCTGAGATTTCCTTATTTATATATTCATTGTCATATCTTTCACTGATTCTTTAAACATAGTTTCTTTAAATTCTTTAAATGCTTTTTAAATTTTTCTTTTTGAAATGGGATCTTGTTATGTTGTTTAGTCTGGTGTCGGACTCCTGGACTCAAGCAATCCTCTTGCCTCGTCCTCTCAAATAGCTGAGACTAAGGATGTACACTACATACTCATGTGTCTGCTTTTGTAGTCATTGCCTTGAAATTTTTGTCTGAAAAAATCTCACATTTGGACTCACTCAGAGTTAAACTATTTTTTCTTTTTCCCGTCAATATGAACCATGCTTTTCTGGTTTTCTTTGCATAGTTTATAATATTTTGTTGGAAGCTGGACAGTGTTTGTAATATAGTATAAAACCATCATTTTAGGGGATCAAGGAATAGGTTTTTTCCTCTAAACATAATCTCCATCTCTTATAATTTATGTATGCTGATGTCTATGTTGTCAATTTTTTAAATTGATGTTTAAATTCAGTTTCCTAGGATTTGAACTGATAACCTTTGTAGCTTACTGGTCAAACAATAATAGGTTAGAAGTTGTACTCATGTATTTTGGGCCAGGAAGACTTCCAACCTCTGCCTGTGCGCCTCTCTCTCTCTCTCTCTCTCTCTCTCTCTCTCTCTCTCTCTCTCTCTCTGTGTGTGTGTTGACTGTGGAGTACACTTAAAATATAAGCAGTTTTCAAACTGACCTTATCTTTTGCTTTCTACCAGGCTCTCTTTGAGTGTCCCTTGCGTGTTTACATTGCTTCTTCAGCCATAGACAGGTGGAAGGGTTAACTAGTTCCTCTTGTCTGTTTTATTTAAGGATTTTACTGTTTAATTTCTGATTTACCTGAAGCTCAGCACAACCAAGTCTAGTATAGCAAAGCTGCTTTACTAAAGTCTAGTATAGCAAAGCTGCTTTACTAAAAATGCTCTGTAGGTTTTTCATCCCTTGTTCCAAATCAGTTTAACCCCCTACAGCAGTCAAGCTTCTATTTTTTACTGCTGTCCCTAATCTGGAATAATTTGGGGTTTTCCCCTGACCCCTGGCAGGACTGAGAATAATTCCAGGCTAGCATGCCACAGATCCCATGTTTTGAACTTGCATTCAACTTGGTTTCATGAACGAACATTCATCATCAGTTTACTTGCCTTTGCCTGAGCCCTGGAATGATTATTTTTCATGATTTTGTCCAGCTTTATAGTTACTTCTTGAGGAGTAGATTTGTTCATGTGTTGCTTATTAGTCTCATTGCTGTGATAAAATACCAGACAAAAGTAACTTAAGGAATGAGGGTGTTTTGGGCTCACATTTCAAGGATACAGTCCTCCATGGCAGGGAAGTCATGGTTACAAGGTCTTGAGGAAGCTGTTTACATTGTAGGATGAATACTGGTGATCACCCAGCCTTCTTTTCTTCAGTCCAAGGACTCCAGCCATTGAATGGTTCTGCCCACAATTAAGATGAGTCTTCCCACCTCAGGTAACCTAGCTTAGACAGTTCCTTATATACATGCCTGGGAGCTTGTCTCCTAGATAAGTCTAGATCCTACCAAGTTAACAATCAGTATTAGCCATTACAGTCAGCCTTTACTGTAGAGAGAAATTGTTTCCTCTGATGTAGTTTTAGAGATGAAAATGTCATTTTGTTAAAGTATTTAAATATGGGAAATAGAGAGATGACTCAGCAGTTAAGAGTGCTGGCTGCTTTTGCATAGAACCAGGGTTTAGTTCCTAGCACCTACATGACACCTAACAACTGTCAGTAACTTTTAGTTCTAACAAATCCAACAGCCTCTTCTGACCTTCATGGGCATTGAGTCATGATGCACTTACATATATCCAGGAAAAACAATCATGTACACATAAAAATAAATTTAAAATATTTAAAATTTGCTTGTTAAAGATCATAATTTACTTAGTATAAATTTAAGCATTTCAAGTGACATTGGCTAAAATGACTCAGTTTAGGTATTTTTTTATCCTAAAAACTGTACAGTTCTTAATAGTATATGTAGTACAAATGTATGTATGCACACTCATTTCTCCTGCTCTTCCTAAAGCCTGTTTTCTTGTCATACAAAAATATTTTGAAAATATTTTACATTCTCATGATGTGGTCTCTGCATATTCTTTCAGTAAGTTGCAAATGCAGTTTATGCTCTTTCTGGTGAACTATTGATACATTAGACTATGTTTCAAATATCTCTTCTTGGGGCCTTTTTCTGAAATCCTTAGTATTGATACCTTTTGGCCACTATTGTTGAACTTTTTAAAAATACCTTTCTTGGGGCTGGAGAGATAGCTCAACGGTTAGGAACACTTATTCTTCTTGCAGAAGACCCGGGTCAGAATCCCAACACCCACATGGCAGCTAACAACTGTCCGTAACTCTAGTCCCAGGGGATCCGACAGCCTCTTCTGACCTCCAGGAGCATTGCACAACACGGGTGCACTTACCTACATGCAGGTAATCTATGCATATGCATAAAATTTTTTAAAAAATACAAAATTTTTTTAAAAGTTAAAAAATCTTTCTTGTACTTGTGTTATCTTAAAACTTACTGTTATGTAGTTTTCTGACTAAAAATAAAATAGAGGTGTGGAAATTTTGTACGTAAAAGATTATAGACATAGAGAAAAGGCCTCAGTACTTATTCCATTTTAAATATATTTCTTCCAGTCTTCTACTAGGTGTTAGTTTCTATGCAATAGAGATTGTACCATATAGAATTTTGTAAATTCTTTTTGTGCCTATAAAGTACTTATTTTTTTCTTAACATTCATCACAAAAAAATTTACCACTTTATGTGACTAAGTGTAGTAATCCAAATCTATTGTATGCTAAAAGAAACACATTCCTAATAATAATATCTATAATTAAATACAGCATATAAGAGGAGGAAGGATTTATGTTTTGATGGTCTTTTTATTTTCTAATCAAGGTCACTGTAGATGGCTTTAGGCTCTTATACATGATTGCTGAATTGATTTCAGTAAGGGCCCATTTGCCAAAACTTACCAGCATTGAGTGCTTTCATCATTATTAACACTGTGGAATAAACTGGTGTCCTGTTGTGTGTATATAACAAGAAAAGGTACACTTGAAAAATAAAGGACATAATATAAAATTAGAAAGTAAGATATGTCCTGTGGATTTTTAGTACTTGTTATGACAGAAATACATCAGCTAAAACCAGGTAACTGGTCATAAGATTGTTTCCACAGAGCTTGGAGTTTGGTCTCAGAGTTCTTTTCTCTTATTCCTATGAGGAGCCATTACTAACTAATAAATCAATATAAGGGGGGGGGGACTCACCTACCATTTATATCTACTGTGCTTGTTAAACAGGAGTACAAATTTGACTCTTAAGCTTATCAGCTACTAAGCAGAAATGTGCATAGGATCGTATTTTTATTTCTTCTTTTTGTTTTTGAGAATTGTATGTTTATGTCACTTGTCCACTTACATATTAGGATCCTAAATGCTCATCAATTTGTATGAGCACTTTAAAAAAACTATTTTATTATTTTTTACTATTTTATGTATATGAGTGTATTGCCTGCATGTAAGTGCACCCATGTTGTGTAGTGACCACAGAGGTTAGAAGAGGCTATCAGATCCCCTGGAACTGGAGTTACACACTGTTGTTAGTGGCCATGTGGGTGCTGGGAATCGATCCTTGGTCCTCTGCAAAAGCAGTCAGTGTTCTTAACCTCTGAGCCATCTCTCCAGCCCCTGTATTAGCTCTTGAATACTTAGAATGTGACTTGTGTATGTGTGTGTGTGTGTGTGTGTGTGTGTGTGTGTGTGTGAATTAGGAGCGT